GTGATGCTCCTTGGCCTGCTGTGTTCATCCAGCTCTACACCTTGTTATCTCAGATTCTCCAGCATCTGCAGTTCCTACTATCTCCTATGCACTGTGTATTGTGCTTCCTGAACATGTAGAATGACGATACATCCAGATGTTAAACTTGACAGTGGGTCCATTCGTATCATCATTACCATGCTCGACTTCTTTATAAGGCACGAATTGAGACTTGATGCTACATCCACAGTTGCTTTGTCATTGTCTGGATCACTTTCACAGAAAATTTCACAGTTTTGAAGTATGTGGTGTCATTGGATAATTCAAGGGCTAGCTCCTCCACCTTTCTGATGATGTTTGCTTCGTCAAGGCTTCCAATGGTCCTTGTGCAAGGTGTTCATCCACCCAAAGTGATTGGATCTTCAGCTAATTTTAACCAACACTTAGTATTGATCAATAATTGGTAACATATACGACTATTGTTACGGAAACAGGTTTTGATAGCTGACTCAACGGGAGGGCATGTCGTATTAATGCTCATATGAGATAACATTAGAAATAAAATTCAGTGTTTACTGCTGTGATTCCATTAAAATAACAAAGTTACGTTTCCCAAGTTGCAAGTAAAGGGAATGTGGATATATCATTAAGACCATATACAAGGTCCCAAGTTTTGTTCTGCTCTGTGGTGAAATAACCACTGCAGTAATTGGGTTCACTTTCTTTTGGGCAAGTGACGTTTGGTAATGTTGAGCTAATTCTGCTGAAAATTGGGCATTGGGTTTGGCTGGAATCGACTTGTCTAGCTTCCCACATAAACAGCAGTTACTTTGGATAATGCCAAGGTCCCATGGACCAAAAGTCGCATGAATGTTTGGAATGGACAAATTGTGAGTTTCTATACCCTACACGTTACATAGTCGCTTATACAGCACAGGTTAAATGCAGCCAAGTTCCCCATATTCTGCTCTATTGTTTTCCCAATGACTTTATCAATGTAACCTCCTTCATTACCTGAGCTTTTCTTCAATTTTAAAGAAAGGTAAACAAGTTCCTTGGTGGCTTAACTAATTTATGATGTGTTTTGATGCTACAGATGAATCCACAGGACAGTGCTCCCTGAGAATATTCCTCCCTAATGGAAAAAAACAGCTCACTCAACCATCCCGATATTTTTATGCATTGATTATGCTTGTGAAATTGTGTGGTGCCAACATTTGACACCAGGGGTTGGTTAAGGCTCCAGTGTAGTGAGGTAGTGAGAAGTGACATGATGGGGGGAATAGCAGAAATCTTCCAACTTAGGATCCTCAGCCGATTTGTCCCCACCTCTATTTTGAAACTGGGTCATCCTTAACTGTACGGGGTGTGCTAGTTGGATTGTTGGCAAAGATTTTGAGGATATCCTTGTGTTGATTATAAGAGATGTGTTTATGAATGTGTGTGACAGCGTCTGTGAGAGTGAGAGTAAGAGTGTGTGTGTGTGTGTGTGTGTGTGTGTGTGTATGAGAGAGACAGGACCCTTATTTCCAAGGGAAAGACCGTAGATCGCCTTCTAAGATTGGCATCAATCATTAATCAGTATTCATGGGCTTGTTGAAGCAGTTGGACTTTGCCACAGCTCAAGTGAGAGCTAATTTGCGTGAGTTGGGAAATTCAACCCAGGACGTTTTGGGGGTTTATGGGTCAAGTTTAATTTAGTATGAACATTAATTGACTGCAGAGAACAGTAATCTGACCCGCATGAGCAAGATTTGAAACCCTGTCCTGATGTTTTTGATGCTGTTACTCATTCCAATGGATGAATGATCATGTTACTGGTATTGGGAGCAACGTGACTTCTTGATGAAGTTTCTAGTTGCTTGTTTCTAATTCTTTATCAGTTCATCTAAATGGTTGAAAATGACATGATAAATAGAGTGTGAAATTAATGGAACAACTGTGTGTAATTTATTACAGCTACATGACTCACCTCATCGACACTGTCCCTATCTTGGTCTTTGGTTTTCAACTTTTTTTCCTTCTTGTCTTCATTCTTTTTGTCTTTTTCAGGTAAAATGTCATCTAACCAAGCAAGGTCATGTTGGGAGAAAACCAGGTCCAGCAACTTTCTCACTAGGATGAGTGCAAGGATCTTGCATGTTGATGGAAATAAGTACAAGACGTGGCAGGTCAGCATTTGTGAAAAAGTGTTGTAAACTGCTGAAGTAAATTGACACAGAATTCAATTGCTGCACTATAACAGTATTTACAAAGAATCGACTGTACTGGGCAGAAAGTCAGTAATTTTTCCCATTTTAGTGTTAAGTTTTAATTTCTAAGAACAAAGATACAATGGTGAGGTTTGACATAAAAAGGCAAAAAGAGAAAAGTTGATGATAAAAGACATGAGAATGGTGGCCATTTTGTTGACTGGCCTGCAAATTCTGATGACACTGGGTTAGGTTTAAATAAATGTTTCACGATCTCACAATCCAAAGCTGGAGTCCGTTCCTACTCTGTTGCATTCAAATAAGGTGAATCATGGACTGGATTTGAGGTCAGAATCAAACATCTACTTTGATGTGATTGGAGCTTTTAACAATTGATGGATGAGAACATTCTGACTATTTTTAGAATCTATTGGGGATATATAATCTGGATGACTATAAGCACATCTGAGTAAAATAAGTTGACTTCTTCATATATAATTTTAATTTTGGAATAGTTGTGATTTTGAACTAACACTTTGAATTTCAAGACTCATCTTTGTGCTTAAATCCCTCCATGGCCTTGCTCCTCCAGTCCAGTTCATCCAATTCTGGACCCCAGCATATTCCCAAAGTTCTTTGCCAAACTTTGACAACTGTGTGTTTTCAGTTCACTAGACCCTAAATGTTGGAGTTCCCATCCAAAACCACTCCATCTCTTCATCTTCCATTCCTTCTAAGACGCTTCTTAAATACTACTTAATTGACAACCTTTTGGTTACCTGCCTAATACCTTCAGCTGACTATCAATTGCTGTCTGAATAATACTTAATTAATGATGCTTTGTAAATATAAGTTGCTGTTGTTTGTTTGAAGCTTGCCTATGATACCATAGCAACATGTTGTAAAATACTGATGACTTCTTACCATGACAGGAAATATGATTGCTGCCACAGTGGACTTCAAGACCCAGAGAACAGCCAAACAGATGACTTGCACCATGGTGAATAAGTGGACCCGGCGGAGGGGCACATGGCGAAGATAGGTATAATCTGGCTGGTGTTTGGAGGGCATCAGAAATAATTTGCATCGATCCCAAAACTGGAGAAGGAAAATTTTGAAGAAGACCAAAGATTGAAGTCACAATAAAGGGTAATCCACTTTACATTGTTCATTTGAGGAATATTTGTTCAATTAGTTAAGTCATATCCTGCTCTTTTCTGAACATTTAGTGTCATCACCAATGTCAAACTTCCCTCTGTGCACATCGTAGTACTAGGTGCCAGCATGACTGAAGGTGGAGTCAGAATTTGGGTCACTACTGAGTGAGTATCAGCAGCAGTACAAATTACATTCCAAGCAAACTGCCAAGCCTAATGTTCAGCCTGAATAGGTTGTGCATTCTATTTAGGTTAAAGACATGATTATCAGTGTACAGATCTGACCTAACATGATCACTTATTCAAATAGAACTCTAATTTTGGACGAGTTCTTGTTTCAGGTTTGGAGCATCTATTAACTGATACATGCAATTCTATTGTGCAATTATACAACAGACATTAAAGTCCTAATTTGAGAATATTTTGGAGGTGAGCCATACTATCATTGGGACTTGAAGAAAGAGAGAAAATGAGACGGAGAAATGGCAATGTGTGAGAAACCTCGTTTATTGCGAAAGAGAACGACAGAGCTGGCAGTGAATGCACAGAAGCAGAGAATAAGAGAAAACTTACCTGTTCATGAGTGACACCAGGGGACATTAATTGTGAACTGAAAATTTCTGAGCCTATTTACCCTAAGTTATTTTTCCAGTTATGCTAATCTGATTGATGGGTTAATGCTTCTGGTGATTGTTCAAAGGCAATGAAAGAGAAGATATACTTTAATCTTAAGTCAGACCTACCTGAATGCCATTTAAAGAGGAGACACCCATATAAAGGAATACTCCATATAGCACTGCCATTGGAATGTACTGAGAATAAGCAAAATAAGTCATTAATATAGCATCAAAGTACATGTTGCTACTTAAACAGTTTAAGGCTCTCTAAAGTGGGAACAATGAGAGATTAAACAATTAAATCCTTAGAGTTCCCCTTCCCAATTGTGGCTTCCCAAATGTCTGCTGGCAAAAAATGATACTGCACCAATGTATACTCTGAATGTCTGATAACAAGCTGAGCTCGCATTAATAACGTGTCTTTTATAAACTCAAGATGACCTAAAGCAAGGTGCAGGGCTGGATGAACACAGCAGGCCAAGCAGCATCATTGGAGCAGAGAGGCTGACGTTTCGGGCCTAGACCCTTCATCAGAAAAGGGGGAGGGGAAGGGGGTTTTGAAATAAATAGGGAGAGAGTGGGAGGCGGATAGAAGAGGGATAGAGGAGAGGATAGTTGGAGAGGAAACAAACAGGTCGAAGAGGCGGGGATGGGGCCAGGAAAGGTGAGTGTAGGTAGGGAGTTAGGAAGGGGATAGGTCAGTCCAGGGAGGACGGACAGGTCATTACAAATGAAACAGCCTCCAAATATCATTAAAATCCATCTGTTTCACAATTACTGTTTAAGTCAATCTGCGATCCTTATCTGCTCTGGCCTACAAGAGACTTGAGACTTACAGTCACACATTTCTCAACTACTGACCTCAAAGGCCCTTCATTTGAAGGGCAATTAAGCTGGGAATCAAGTATGATTTTGACAACCATTCCCCACGAAATAAAGAAGAAAAAAAATAACAAAACTCTGCACAACTCATTCTGAGATAGTAAGAACTGCCGATGCTGGAGTCAGAGATAACACAGCACGGAGCTGGAGGAACACAGCAGGCCAGGCAGCATCAGAGGAGTAGGAAAGTAGATGTTTCGAGTCAGGACCTTTCTTCAGAAAATGAAGAAGGGTCCTGAACTGAAACGTCAACTTTCCTACTCCTCTGATGCTGCCTAGCCTGCTATGTTCCTCCAGCTCGACACTGTTATCTCTGCACAACTGATGTTGAGATAATCAAGAATAATGACTTCACAATGGGTCATCTGAGAAAGATGAAGCCACACAATTTGGTTCAGATGAAAACGAATCACTGAAGACTGAAATCATAACACTTAATGATAACAAGCACACCATGGCTGTACACAATTATATTAATGCCCAAAAAATTACTTGCCTTGATGATGGCAAAACAAAGAGATCAAGATGCTCTCAGTTGGCAAGTAATGTCCATCAGAAAACATAAGTATAATACTTGCAGCAAAGGCAAATTGAAGGAACTTGACTAAGTTGCACCATGCTGAAACAAAACCAAAACCCAGCCTTCAGAGGCTCCATGTCTTCAAAAACACATACCTGTGTTTTGGTAAAAATGAGTGTCTTAGGAAGTTGTCTGCATAGTCAACGTCCATGTCCATGCCCAGCACCTCCGATTGCAGACAATATGAGCTGACAATGTAACAAGTATATCAAAGGCTCCCATTGTTGGGCAGTTGGCTCAAATAATTATATCCTCACCTATTTTTTAAGAAAGGCTTATTACGTTTCAACAGGAAAACCTCCAACCCAGTATCAGATATTAATCAGATTACCTGAGTGGACAACGGCGTGGGACGGAAAAGAAAAGGCAATCGGTTTAATTACGACAGAGATGAAAAGACGGGGGAAGGGGATAAAGAAAGAGAAGAGGAAGGAAACCCGAGGCCTACAAGGCCCAAAGTTTCCAGAAAGGTAGAACCGAAAACAGGAAGAATGGTCGAGCTGGGCCAGATTATGGCTCGTCACCCGCGCAATACTCACAAAAGGAAGCTCATTTTCTTCTAATTTAAACCACTCAGAAAAAGAAGCGTCGGGTTAAATAATAATCCGGAAAGACATCACAGTCCCGGCTACTTTTCGGAGAAAAATTGTTGGAACCGACAACTACCGAACTGAAAAAAAACTTCACTCTCCTTCCCCAGACAGCGAAACCTCGCGAGGACGACCTCACCGCGACATCATGCAAATCAGGCTAAATGATTGACAGTGGAATCGACCAATCAACGTCAGGATCACTGCCCCCTAACGGCCGGTGTGTTCTATAAACCAATGATCGGTGACAAAGGGCGGGACGACCGTTAGAAAAAACCACCCCCCATGCCGTTAACAGAAAACTCAGTTCTATTCATCTGCACGATCTTGATTTCAAACTCAGTAAGGCAAGAAATGTATTTTCATTCATATGACAAAAGAAACCGTGAAATTTAATTGACGTGCGGAGGAGCGAATGGCGGGCCGAGGTCTCGGTTGCTGTAACCAATCGGCATGGGCTGCTGCAGTTTTTTAAATAAATGGTTGGCAACAAACCAATTTTTCCTAAAAAAAAAGTCAAGACGACCACCGTCCTTGTTTGTTTCTTTTTGTCTATCGTTCACTGGGTGGGTATGAATGATTCTCTGGAAAGTTGTAAATGTTCATGAAGGCGAGGGGGGAGGGGTTTGACGGCACAATTCCGTTTGTTTCCGGCGGATGACGTTAGTAGGCGCTGTCGTGCTGTTGAGGCGAGTCGCAGGTAAAGAAAGAGAGGGAGAGAAAAGGATCGCTTCAGTTCTGA